TGGGGCATCACAGAAACACACCTCTCCGGCGTGAACCAGAAAGCGTCTATTAGACGTATCCAACATGAAGCTCGTGTTCATGGACGCGAATTGCATTGTGTTCCAGGAGCTCCGCTGCCAATTCGAGCGAGGTCTAGTACCGTTGGCACTTGGGCAGGAGTCATTACTTTGTCGGACTGTATCTCTAGATCAGTCACATGCCAATGGCCAAATGGTGAATTTAACTTGGGCAGAGCACAGGTGGTTCACAGCTGTTATGGTCCTTTCAGCGTGATGGGTGCCACGGTGTATGGATGGCCGAAAAGTCCCACATGGCCGAATGCTTTGAGGGATACCAATGTGCTGTTTGACACCGTCGTGAAGGAGATTGGGCTTTCTAGGGGTGGACCACGATATATTGTGGGGGACTTCAACCATGATCTGAGTACACTCCGGGGTTGGGAAGTATTGCAACGAGCTGGATGGAAAGATGCTCAAGGCCTTGCCCATGAACTATGGGATCAAGACTATTGTATGACGTATCGCAATTCCTCCATCACCGACCACATTCTTCTCTCTCCGGAATTAGTTGTGCTGGTTAAGGAAGTCAAAAGCTGGAATTGGTTTGCGGATCACCTTGGGCTTGGAGTCTGCATTGAGGTGCCAGTCATCAAGGCAAAACAGAGAGTCTGGCCACTTCCGGCTGAAATCCCATGGGAAAGTGTCAACTATGAGGCCTGGAGACAAGCTGATCACGTGATTCCTTATGAAGACAATCTATGGATTGACCATAGAGTAGAGCAATGGGCCAGGTCTTATGAGAACAGCTTCGATGGGTATATGAAAACAGCAATTGGGACGCTTCCCACTTCTTGCAGAGGTCGGTGTCAAAGACATGATCCGGTGCATAGAGAAGTTGATTGCCCTCTCATCAAACCGTCACGGCCTGGTGAGGTGCAATTGAAAACTGACCTGGTGGGCAGGGCTGTCCAGCGATGGTTTCAGCAACTCAGACGAATACAGAGTATGGTTCATGCCAAGAAAGCTGACAAGAACACCCCTGATGCCGTCGAATACCGCAGTTCTTTATGGAGGGCCATTCGCAAAGCTAAGGGATTTGATGGAGCCTTTGAAGATTGGTGGACACGACGGCCTACCCAATTGGCAGGTTTATCAAATTCATTCCCAACAGAACCTCCTGCCTTGGACTTCTGCAATGACCTGCTTTGAAGACTTTCAGATCAACTTTCGCAATTTTGAAGCATGGCATGTCAGACAGCGAAAGCATCTTTTGGCGGCACAATATCAGGCCCAAACGAACAAGATCTTTGAGGTGACAAGAAAAGAACCAAAGGGTGGTGTGAACTATCTCGAGCGCTCTACGCTCACAACTGTGCTCGGATGTGATGCTGAACATGCTCAAGTCCATGTAGATATTGCGAAAGACCTGCAACTACCCGCATCTCTTCGGGTTCCAGAACAGACAATTCCCATTCATGCGCAAGATGGCCAAGTACTCACACTGGCCGGAGAATGGCTGCTGCAGGAAGGAGTTGAAGCAGAGATTGTCGAATACGCATCTACTCCACATGCCATACAGCAGCAACTTCGGGAGTTCTGGCAGATGAGGTGGTGGAAAGATCCCCTTCCTCAACCCGAAGATTGGACTCGAATCATTAACTTTGCCAAGGCGTTCTTGCCACCAGGGCTACTTGCACATGCTGATGTGTCCCTGGAATCATGGACTGACGTCAACCGAAGGTATGGACCGAGAGCTGCACGTGGACCTGATGGGCTTGGACATCAAGATCTTCGAAAGATGCCAGTGCGACATCAGGAGGAACTGGTAAAAATATTGAATCAGTGCGAGGCTGATACCTATTGGCCAAAGGTTTGGAGAACGGGCTTTGTGCATTCCCTGGAAAAGAAGGATGGGGCCACTCGAGTGAATGAGTATCGACCGGTGATCATTTACTCCACCGTCTATCGCTCCTGGGGTTCACTAAGAGCCAAAAGGTTTCTTCAGTTCCTCTCTCGGATGGTGGATGAGAAACAGCTTGGATTCATGCCGGGCCGAGAAGGTGCGGAGGTATGGATGCTTCTACAAGGTTTGATTGAGAGGAGTGTGCAGGACGGTGAAGAACTCATGGGCTTTGTCACGGACATCCGAAAGGCTTTTGAGTCACTGCCTCGAGATCCGATTTTTGAGATTGGACTTCATTTGGGACTTCCTGGCCGCCCAATGAAGTTGTGGAAGCACTTCCTTGAAACGACTTCTCGGAGATTTCTGGTGAGAGGTGAGATCAGTGACGAGGTGTTCTCCAACTATGGATTCCCAGAAGGGTGCTCTCTTTCTTGTGTTGCCATGTCTATTGCTGGCCTCACTTTGCATTGCTACATGAATGAGTTTTCCAAGCGGTGTGGAACAATTTCATATGTAGACAATCTGGAATTGCTGGCAAGATCCCTGGGACCTCTTCAACATGGAGTGCTCACTATGCAAACGTGGACCGAAATGTGGAAGCTGGAATTGGATGAAGATAAGTCCTATATCTGGACTACCACAGCAGGGACCAGGAAAGAGGCCAAGGTCTTGGGTTGGGATGTGGTCAAGTCTGCTAAAGATTTGGGAGCGCAGCTCAACTACGGCAAGTCAAACAGTGTCAAGGTGCAGACTCAGAGATTTGGATCACTGGAGGGCATTTGGCCAAAATTGAAGCGTTGTCTGGCAATGAATTGGCAGAAACAAAGGCTTCTACGACAGGCCATCTGGCCTAAAGCTTTCTATGGGGTCCCAGTCTGCACATTGGGATGGGCACACATCAAATCGCTTCGTACACAAGCCATGAAGGCCTTGGGTTTTCAATTTGCTGGTGCTGCTCCTGGACTCAGACTTGGCTTGCTATGTCATGAACAATGTGATCCCGGCTTCTATCAGGCATGGTTGGTGCTGACTACTTTCCGTCGAATTGTGAAGAAGAGGCCTCTCTTCTCTCAGATGTGGAAAGAGTACATGGAGCACTATGATGGCAACGCGAAACAAGGGCCTTTTGCCAAACTACTGGAGGTCTGTCAACACCTACGCTGGACCATTGAGGTACCTTTGGTGGCAGATTCGGATGGATGTTGGCATAACTGGATTGATATGAATGAGAAGACCCTTTATGAGCTGGTGAAAGACGCCTGGACCGAGAAGGTTTGCGGGGAAATTTCCAAACGAAAGGACTTTGATGGTCTCAATGGAATTGATCGGCGGGTCATGCTCCAAGCACATGCAAAAGTACGACCGAATCTTTTGGGCTATGTGCATCGCCTTCAGGATGGCTCCTTTTTGGAACCTGGACAACATGCCAAGTATGACTTGGGCAAGGAGATTTCATGTGAACTTTGTGGAGGTCGAGACTCTTTGGAACATCGATGCACAGGATGTCCAGCCAGAGAAGACATCTATGAGAAACACAGAGTGATTCTTGAGAAATGGCCTACTTTTTCGCAAGCGAAACGCATTCACCTTCTACCACCACACAATCCTCATTGGAGCCTTTTCAAAGAGCTTGCTTCTCAAGCTGATGATCAATGGATTCGGCATCCCAGACGTATGGAACCATCGCACTGTCATCTCTTCTCAGATGGATCATGTCATGGTGGTAGGCATCGGGCTTATCAGTTGGCATCTTGGGCGGTGGTGAGTGCTACTGCAGATCACTGTGTTGCTTCCGGTGCGCTGGGCGGCATTGGGCAAGACATTGACCGGGCAGAGCTGAGGGCAGTGATAGCAGCTGTGCAGTACGCAATGGAAGGCAGCTGTGACGCTACCATTTGGACTGACAGCACGTTTGCTGCTGAAGGACTTGCGAGGATGCTCAATGATAGTCTGGATGTTCCTGATGGACATTGTGAAGAAGACTGGGTGGAGCTACAAGGGCTTTTATGTCATTGTGAAATTCATCTACGAGTCCAACATGTCCCAGGACATGCCAGATGGACGAATCATGACATGGACGTGGAGAATTGGGCTGCAAGATGGAATGATCGTGCAGATAGAGAAGCGAACATGGCGATGAAACTACATGGGCAGGCACTTCTTCGTCTACACCAACGACTTTGGGCACATCATGAAGGTGAACTTGCTGATGTATGTGCACTACAAGAACTACATCTGGACATTGTGGAGAAGCCGAAAGCGGCCAGAAAAGAAGATGAGCAGGACGATGAAGGGGGGGAAGGTCTCCCTGACTGGAGGGTCGAGAGAGGGTGCCCCAACAGTCAATCTCCATTTCGAGACCTTCCCAGGATTGAAGACGAACGTTGGTCCTCACTCTTTGAGGTTTTTGGTCAATCTTTCGTGCAGAACTTCTTCCAGATGGTCATGAATTGGGAAGAAGATGAATCGGCAGTGATCTACAAAATGTCCTTCTTGGAAGTTGCTATGGTGTTTGCAACGGATGGGAAGAGATGGGTTCCTATGCCGCACTCAACGAGACCGAGATGCTGGCAAGATCGCGATGCCTTCAACTTCAACGAGCCGAATTTGGGTGCTCTGGTGCGTTTGGCAAAGGCCTTCTTTGCTGCCCTTGACCGGAGTTTTTCCCTTAGTGTCACTTGGTGTAAGGACATCAATTTGACCTTTTTAGGAGTGCATCCACCGCAAGACGGCCTAATTCTGGCGGTCAGTCCGGTGATTGCAGAACAGTCAATGGACAATCTGCGAGGTTTCACCAAGCGCAGACCCATCAGGCGTGCCAATGACTTGGCCCGACCAGTGCGCGCATGAGTTTCCTCTGTGTCACAACTGTCACTGCAATAGCTGTGGCATTGAGAACCTGCAGAGTGTCCGCGCGTGTTTGTCACCTGATCATGTGGGTAAATGTCAAAACATCTCCGAAAAGATTGCTCCCCAAAAAATTGATGGTTGATTAATACCATGGAATTCCAAGACTGACAATTTTTGTGGGTCACTTTTGTGATAGCCCAATGACTTTTGACCCATATCCATGTCGTGTCGTGGCCATGGGACCCAGGCCGAATGGGCAAAATCTTCCACCTGCAAAGCAGGACGTGATTGCCCGTGGCGACACTGTAAACCTCAGGCCGGAGACTCGGAGACCCCACTGGGAAAGAACCTGGGAACCACATGGAACCACAGATTTTGGTTCATTTCTGATCTGTTTTTGGAGTACCCATTGACCCACACCCAACCAGCATCCTGAATCTTCCAGTATTAGTTGACGCGTGTGGTTTGAGGCTGGAGACTCGATCAGAGAATGCATCCTTTTTGACATGTGAATGTCTTTTCGGCATCTCCATGTATAGATAATGATCCGACACCCGGGGCTGAATACCTTGGGTGCAATTGTAGCTCAGACGCCACAAACAACAGTGGCAAGGTGCACGCAACAGTCTCACAGGACACTCAAACAGTGTCTGCATGGTGAGGATTGGGACTCCATTGGCGGGTCACAGTCTTCGCCAGAGCAAAAGATGGGTGGCTGGCTGCTGTTCCACTTGTGTCTGGGAATAATGTGACTTTGGGATAGTTTGGGTCTGAAAATAGGGGATGCCATGGGATACCCATTACATAAAATGTAGATTTAATGGAAAATATGATCAAAAGCAATGCAAATGCAATGATTTTCAGACTAACCAAAGCCATTTTGCTGCCATGCCCGGTTCTGCAATTTTGGCACTGGCAGTTACACAGAAGCAATGGCAAGATTGTTCAAAATACAGGTGGGCAAGGACAAATTGCACTCGCGTCAAAGATATGCAATCCAGACCAAGACTGTGCAACAGTGTAGCTAGTGCTTTTCTTTCCACATACAAACAGACTCTTGAAAAAAGATGCACAGGCGAGACAAACCAAGGGTTTCACTGCAACTGCCTTGCAAGACACGCCGATCCACAGTTGGTACTGTAGTGTTTGCGGTTCCTAGTGCCCGTTGCCCTTTGCATGACTCGGCTAATTCAGAATGCCGAAGGTCGGCTCAAAGAAATCAGAAGCTTCAGGAAGCCAAGAAATCCAAAAAAAAATTGCTGTGAAGAGTGTTGACAGAGCCACTTCAAGTGTGTCTTCTCATTCGGCTGTGCTAAACACGATTCTTCACCAGTGCAGCTGTCCATTCGAGGCAACTTCTTTCTACGTGGATTGCACGCACGAAGCTGGATCACTGGAGCGTCAGAGAGGGTTGTCTCAAAACGGGGCAGACTTCATGGCCATTTGAATGGGGAACATGATGATAGCCCATATGATTTGGGGTACACCCCATTTTCAGATAAATTTATGATATCGATTGTACTTGATGATATTGATATTCTTGTTTCTCTTGCGCCCATGTTTGGCATTCAACCTTGAAGATCATTTGTGTGCAGGAGTACACCGATGGCCATGCAGAAGGTTGTACAAAGGTCCAAGACGTGGGTTCTCGCGTGCTTTGGAGCTGATTCATAATTGATCCCATGAAACATGAACAGCCCATGACCGCGCAGATCTACGACCTCTGGAAAAATCGCAGAGCCTGGATCTGAAGTTGGAAGGTCTTGTGATTTATGTAAGTTGCACATTGGATCAGCTCAAGTTTCAAGACTGTCTCTTGTCATGTCTTGTGGATCTTGGTGTTTTTTAAGGTCACTGACAAAGGGCCAGATGTGAGGAGCTCAGGATAGCGGTGGATTTTGGGGGATGATCCTGCTCAAGTTTCAACGCGCTAAGTTGGCTCCTTGTACAATCCCCGACTACATCCACGGAGCTGTGGACTCAGCAGTTCCTAAAAAAGAGTGTCCTTGTAGCAGACGCCTCTGCATATGGATGTATTAAATATACGCGTGTGTGTGTGTGTGTATAGATGTGTATATATATATATACGTGTGTGTGTGTGTGTCAGTGTGTTTCTGTTTGTGTGTGTGTGTGTATGTGTTCAGTCATGTTTTAAGCCTAAACTCGATGTTTTATCTTCATTTCGGCGGACATATAGACAGGCATACATCCACAGATACAATGACTATCCATAAATGGTCATACAGATTTCTGTTTATATACGTATACTACAGTACATTATATATATATACATATATATATATACATACACACCATACCAATACCATACAATACAAATACAAATACCAATACAATACCAGACCATTCAATACAATACATTGCATGTGTATATACATATAGTACCTACATACCTACATACCTACATACCTAAATACCTACCAACCCACCCACCTACCTGCTTACATATGATTACGTATGTATGTTTATATATACAGCACACAAATGCCCAACTAGACAACGCCTCCTGTAAAGCGACGCCGCCAAGGTAGACACAGGTGAGTGGGCAGAGTGTTGCCGCAGACAACTCATGCATCCCGATGATGAGCAAGGCCACATGTGGCAAATATGTGCCAATCCCAATGATATCCTTTGAATTCTCGAGCAAACTTGGGCATATTTGGTCATCATGTATATCGTTGTGATAGCATTGTACCTGGCAGATATTCTGGCAGTAAGCAAGTCCTGAAATGATTGATTCAAAAAAACTGTTATCGGCATGTATTTATATCTATTTCTCGTCAGACTCGTACATGTCAAACATTTAATGCCTGTGGTTGCAGGTCCTTTGAAAAATGTCCTGAAATTGTTGGTGGCCTTGGGACTTCGAGCCTTGACAGCATGTTGAGCATGTTTTTTTATATGTCCTCTCAACATTAAAGCCCCACGCTGTCAGGAAAAGGCTACAAGGAGGTCTACATTTGTCAGGCCTTAAAGGCTGAAAGTCACAACTACGCCTACGACATGGATTCAGGGCTTGGATGGATCAAGGCGATTCGTTTCTTGTGGATCAATCGCAACAGCTGTGGCTTCAGTCACGTTTTGCCCCTGTCGATATGCGATTTGGCACTGGATTTCTCCAGGATTCATGCGGTGACTGCGGAGGTAGCGACGAGGTGCGTCAGGGATTCAAGCCTTTTTTCCCCAGCTTAGCTATGGGGGGATCACGATTGAGTCCCTTGCAACGTGTTTGCCAGGTGTGCTTGAAGCCACGCGTCTTTGATATCAAATCAACACCACCTCCCAAAGGATTTAAGGACAGACTGATGCAGGCTGGACAGCTGACGATGAGCTTGGCTTTTTAAGGAGGGTCACTTCTGACGGGCAAAAAAAGAGGTGAATTTAAAATCGTTAAAATCGAATACAGGAATCCATGAGTGGAAGAGTGATAAATGACTGTTGACATGTGGAGAGTTGACGTCACTGAGATCGAAAAATGTGAGGGTTGAATTAGTTGCAGGCCGCTAAAAGCGTCGTCCGCAAGGTTGGATACTGAAAAGGGTTGGCTGCAGCTTGCATTTGGAAGTAACTACAATGGCACGGTAGTTGTAGGTGTATATAGGATGCATGCACAAGGTGAAGCTAGGTTGAGTGCATTTTTTGTTACGCATTGCGTATACTCGGTGCTCGTTGTGAAAGCCACGATGTCTAAAAATATATGGAAAATAGGTTTTGCGTTTTAGCATGGTTTAGTTTAAATTCTACTTTCTCAAGTATACGAGAAATGCATGGATGTATGGTGGTATGTTTGCATCTTAGAATGTTACCTAATGGTAGGTGATGCCATGCGATGACATGCAAGGGCATGTACTGTGACGTTGTGTATTGGTATACAAGGGTATGTAATTGATCATAATGGAATATCATGATATGTCCGTCCTAACATGTCATGATATGTCATGGTAGGTCATGGTAACATATCCACCAGGAAGGTCTTTCCACAGTACTGAGTTGATTGTGCTCAGTTGATTGGCATGGAACGAAACATCTGCCTTGGAGTGGGCTACAACTGGAGCTTTGGTCTTCGGCTCAGCACATGCGAAGCGAACGCGGAAAGCACGACGTGGGCGAAAGGAAATGGAGAACGTTGGGAAAAGCCCATGGCAATCCCATGGTTTATCATGTTCAATCATGTTCAATAATTTTCCCATGAAAATAGACATAAATTGGAGTATCCCCGATTTTTGGACCACCCAAAATTCATGTTTTATCATTGCCAAAACCATAACCGCCAGACGTCTCCAGGTCGAATTGCTCCTGGACTCATCGACATGGTGAAATCGTTGCCATGGGGTGACAAACGAAAGGCACGGGTCACGACCCTGGCAGGATTTGATGATCAAACTATGGGGATTTCATCATTTTTCTGATTGGTGGTTTGGAACATTTTTTATTTTCCCATATATTGGGAATAATCATCCCAACTGACCAATATTTTTCAGAGGGGTTGATACCACCAACCAGTTTTCATAGGGGTTTCAACTCTCAAACTCTGCGGAAGTGGACATGACTCACATGACTGATAAATGATGGTTGATGATGAGTTCGGATGATATTGTTCAACATATTGGAAATCATTTATTGTATCCCATATGTTCGAAATGATCCTACAATCCATGTATTTCGGGAATCTCGCCAGGTTACCAGTTTTTGAGATCCGGTTCCGTCTACGTCAGGTCTACTACATCAATGCCGCAATTGCGCCCTGCCCTTTGCTGCCACAAGACTTGGAGGTGGCCTCACTCTTGAGAAATGTCCGACTTTCCTATCGAAGACAATATTTGCGTGATTTTCTATGACATTGATTCAAAATGTATGATGAAATTATTTAACATGATTAATATAATATTGAAATTAAATAATGATATTATATTATATTATATTATATTATATTATTATATCATATTATATCATATTATATCATATTATATCATATTATATCATATTATATCATATTATATCATATTATATCATATTATATCATATTATATCATATTATATCATATTATATCATATTATATCATATTATATCATATTATATTATATTATATCATATTATATCATATTATATCACATTATATCACATTATATCACATTATATCATATTATATCATATTATATTTGATTATAATTGATTATATTTGATTATATTTATATATGTGATTATTAATTTAAATTATGAATATGATCTTAATAATTTATAATAATTTATAACAATATAATATATATAATTCAAGAAATTAATAATATTTAATAATATATCGATATATAATTTAATTATTAGAAATAATAATATAATTGTATATTTAATATATATATATATAATTGGATTGTATT